ATAAACAAAATATTGTAAAGAGGAGAAGAAAGGCAACCGCCGCAATGATGAAAATGGCCATCAAATATTGGGCAAAAAGTAGTAACAATAAAAATAGCACCAGTAATAGCATGATAGACGATATCGATATAGACAAAGACGACAGAAAATGTAAAATAAACTCAACAGAGATACTTTGGAGTTGGCCCTACACACCTCGAAGATGTCTAATGGGGAAGAAAATACCGCTCGTGTGTAAGCAGACTCAGTTTCTTAATTACTGCATGTCGGATTCGTTAGTATCTTATAATTATAACGATCCAACATCCAGCTATCATTTAATATTTAAGGTTATCGACGACAATAAAAACAGCGACAGTAGTGAAGAAGATAATGATGATGAGGAAGAGAAGGAGGAGGATGATAACGCTGATGATGCTTCTACCATTACTGTTGATACTTCCAGTAGCAGAAACGGTAGTGTTACAAATGATGATAATGAGAGTAGTAGTAATCTGAATATGAAGAAAATATCAAGGAAAAATATATTAAATGTTCCGATCGAACTTCTTCGTGATAAGTTGTCTTCCTCTGCCGTGATCACCACAAGTAAGAACATTTACAAGTTCAATAAACTCGAACTCGCAAAATCACAAAAAGATAGAGAAAATATAAGAAAACATATCACGTTCAGTAAGATAGCCTCGAATATCGATAAGATGTCCCAAAGATCAACCAACGATACCCCCAATACGTCTTCATCAACGAAAGAAAAAAATTTATTATCTACTATCGAACCCGATTTACTAAAGATGGGCATTGAGAACGAATCCTGCCTCTTGTTTGGGGAGTAATCGCATAACATATGACTGTTATAAACAATTAGCACCGCCTTTAATATTACATGTAATGAACAAGAAAGATTGGAAAACGATCGTGTAATAATAATAATAATAATAATAATGAACAAGAGACTGGAAAAGATCGCACACAACACTTACACGAGAGACAACCTGTGCATCGGTATCAGTTTGGATTTTGGAAAGAATAAAAAAAATGTTTGCTTCCTGCCCAAGAATAAAAAACCGCGTTTAATAGACAAGACGGTAATGGTAAAATCGTTGAACGAAACTTCCCAAAAACAATTCACGGCTCTCCGTCTCCGGGAAGAATTTCCTCCGTGCAGCATACTCATCTTTTCTATGGGTTCCGTAATCATTGTCGGACTGAGGAAATTGGGACTGACTCCCCTGAGCGTTCTCCAGGCCGTGTCGGCCATCGCGGATACCCAGGAACACCCGATCACCATTTCCAACGTCGAAATCGTCAACGTCGTTTCTACCTTCAATCTCTTCCGACTCAATATGCAGAGCCTGAAAGAATTCTTCAAAGAAAACAAGATCGCCTATACGCACGTGCCGGATTCGTTTCCCGGTCTCTTCTTCAAGGTTTTGGTACCAATACGTCACCTGAAGAGAGGTGAAACCATAGGAGGATATTACACGAGAGCTGCTAGGGAAAGAGAAGCAGGAGACGCGGACGCGGTGAAGAAAAACTTTAGGGGCAAGACCGTCCTGGTATTTCAGGTGGGTAAATGCACCATTCTCGGCGCGTGCGGCGGTGATGACATTCACGTTATCTTCAAGATGCTCTTTGGCTTTTTCTGGTATTTCATCGACGACACCGTTCATCTGTCCGCCGAAGAATTGGAATACGGAAACCGCACGTATCGCATCCCGCCTCTCTCGTGGTATCTGATGATAGACTTTTTCTTGCGAACGGTTCCTGGTTACCAGCTTAAACCGAGCGTAGTTCTCGCAGTCGAAGATAAACCGCCGGTCGCCAACAGACGCGGAGCGAGCGATCTGCTGGACGCCGTCGACCGTTTGTCGATTATCAAGGACCGAATGTTAAGACGAACACCCCGAGAAAATCACGGGGCTTGGTTTATAAATTGCTTGGAGGTACAACCCTCGACAGAAGGAGGAGGAGTATCGGCATCCGCGCAGAAACGTCAAAATCTGTTCGAGAAGGAACTCGGACAACTAAAGATTGCCCGAGAAAAGTCTACCGCCAGCCAGCGGGGGATGACCACGCAACAGTGTTATAGAAAACTCTCGAGGTTACACAACCTCACGCGAGAGTTTGGCGAAGAAAACCCAACGCCAATACATGCGCCCGTCTCGCATACGGCTAGATGTATATTCGAGGGGTTCGAAAGATATCTCCCTTATACGGAAGAAGAGTTGTCCCATCCCGAAAAAATAAGAATGGAGGCGCCACCCAATACAATCAAAGATGCAAGAGTAACGAAGTTCCACCAACGTCGCCCCCTTTTCTCCAAAGAGAGCAAAGCAATAGAAGTGCGATCGAATCACAGGATGAAAATTCGGCAACTGAATCAGCTAGAAGAAATATACGACTTGGTCGGCAAAGCCGCTAACGAGGGAAGATGCGATGAAATTGCAGCATTTCTCGGAGTGCAACCGTACATTATATCGGGATTACTCAACAGAGACATATCGGTACCGATTCAGGAGTCGAGCATCTTTGGAAGAGATTATACACACATGACTCCTGCGCAAATCTTCTTCAATAAAAATCTGTATAAGCAATACAGTAATGCAGAAGTCGCCAACGAGAATCGACGTGGCGTATTGGATTTTATGATTAATAAAGACACGAATAGCGAAAGTATAAACCACGACTATAACAATATCAATGATATAAAGGAAGAGGCGGAGCAGGAGCAGGAAGAGATGGAGGACGAAATGGATATTGATGATTTTGAAGATGAAGATGATGATACTTATGATGACACTAGTAATGATGATGATGATGATATTGACAATCACGATAACGATACCGAAATATATCTCGACATACATGCTATGGAAAAATTTCTTGAAGAGCAAGTGCAACACGGAATGATCTTTGCTCCACTTTCAAATTATAGAACTCAGCATCACCAAAGTTTACAAACGCGACTCATCTTGGAAGATTTGAAAAGGAAAACAAACATGAACATGCTGCAGCAGCAACAGCTTAAGCAGCAGCAGCAGCAACAAGAGCAGCTAGAGCAGCAGCAGCAGAAGTTAAATCCTACAATGTTTAATGTAAAATCTGTCTATAAGAAAAGAGAAAACTTTTTGTACAAAGAATGCTGTGAGTGCAAATGTAAAAATAAATACGAATCAAACTTTGACTTTGATACGGTTACTACATCATATACTAATATCAATACTACTACTTCTACTACTTTTACTTCTACCACTTCTACAACAACAACCACAGATAAACTAAAGCTAAAACGATCAAAATGTATTATGAATAGTGACATTACCAAAATAAAACGACAAAAATACACTCTCCCAGAATAGAAGCGACAAAAACATACCCCCCCTAAAAAAATAAGTTATGTTACTATGTACGTTATATTACTAAATTATATTAATAAATTTGTTTCCTTCACAATATTCGACTATGATTGAATCAGAATCCAAGGATAGTAGTACTATGATATTAATAAATAAACTACAAGTATACACACCCCTAAAAGAGAACTGTAATATCTTATGATAATAAAAGCCTGTTTGAATAATCATCATCTCGTTTTATTCGTCTTATGCTATTCAATTATAATAGTCACATATAACGTCATACACTACTCGCTCCACATTATATATAATCATGCACGTCTCCACAGTTTTGTTTTCATACTGCAATATTATTATCAATTTCTTTAAGAGCGATTCTACAACAGGAGAATTGAATATCGATTTCATGTCTGTGGGAGTCAATACTAGAGATGATTCTCTAAGAAATATAAAAGCAATTACAGCATGATATAAGATATGATCACGGTGATACGAAAATGTCTTTACATTTCTCGCAACTGTAGCAAACAAGTTGTTATCGCGCGATGATAGTGAAAATACTTTCACTATACCTTCATCGGGTATATTTGAAAAATAGGAAGAAGAAGATGATAATGGCGGCGGTAATAGTGATGGCAGTAGTGGCGGTTGTGGCAACGACGACGACGACGACATTGGTAACGTCAACACCGTAGCCACACTATCATAAATTTCCTTTTCGGTTGTTTCAGTAGACGCAGTTACAGTATCATATAATGATATCCGTTGTTGTTGTTTCTGGATATGCTCATTATTGCTGTTTAGATAGCTGATCATTTCTACAACACCTTCATGTTCATCGGATGCATTGCTCCAGCTTTTCGTTTTATTACACTTTCTAAAATTTCTATATACACGGTGATCATCAATCAGTTGTTGCCACCCATGTCGATGGTGGGGATGTTGATGATGATTATTATTATTATAATACTGAGATTTCAATAATCTCCAGTTGTCACGGTTCCTGATGTTGTTTATCTCATCATCTTTGTAAGTGTGAGGGATTATTCTTTGAGAAATATGGTAGTCATTCTTTATTTGTTCATCCTTGTAGGTGCTCATTGTTCTTCCTCCTTCTCCTTCTCCTCTTCTTCTTTGCGGAATAATATAACGATCGGGCATTTAATATTCTAAAATAATTTTTTTTTGTTAATAAAAGAAGACTTTTACACAGACCACCGGTTCGTTCAGGTGTAGCTACGAACATCTTAGCTTCTCCAGAGCCATGCTTGATAATAATATAGTCTGAGATATATATTTGTAGCCCATTTCGTGTGTATTTTTTCTGTTATATTTTTTTATATATACATGTATATTGTGACATTTCCTATGATGATATTATTATTATTATTATTATTTTTACGTGGGATATAGGAACACCAACGAAGTAATATTCTAATTTTATTACATCTTACATTATTCAAGCGTAAAACATTAGTACATGATATATGATTATCAGTATTAACAAAATATATCACATCTTTATTATATATGTGATCAAAGTTATTATATCATTTATTCACATGTGACGATATAGAATATCATTTATTTACATAATATCCTTGGTAATATATCTAGGATTTTATATACATTCCATGTATGTCCTTACATCTTCTTGTCCTGGATTTTATATATACGTTTTATCAGTCTCGCTTTAGCGATTGTTACAGGGGCCTTGCGTTTCTTACCTACAACGACCTTCTTCTCCTTCTCCTCCTCCATCGGTGTTTCTATTGCCCACATTTCTTCCGTGTCTGTGTTTCCGCTAGGATCTGGTGGTGGCGTATTTTTCTTTTCCGCATTGTCTTCTTCTTCATCCAGCGACTGCGGTGGCTTTGTTGGTGACAGTGGCGATGGCTTTGATGCCGGTATCGATGCTGGTGGTGGTAGTGGTGATGGTGGTGGTGGTGGTAGTGGCGAACAGTTTCTTTCTGTCGGCGGTGATGGTTTCGACTTAATCTCTTTATTTCCATGCTTGTTTTTTTCTATTATATCGGATGGGTCCAACAAGCAGGAAGGTTTCGGTTTTACCGCTGATGATGATAGCTCTTCCTGTGATGCGACATTATGAGTCTTTGCAGCACTATCGGCGTTGGTATTCTCATTGGCAGTTGTACCGTCATTGGTGTTTCCATCGGGAGAAGTCACAGTAACGGCAGGAACCTCGGTCATCTTGGTCTCGGTAGCGATAGCGGCTGTGGCTGCGACCGTACCCGTCTTCGTGTCGATACCGGATGGTGATCGTGGTGGTGTGGTGACAACAGTACTTGTATCATCTCCGATAGCACAAGTTACAGTATCAGTCGGAATACTAGATTTCTTGACTGCGGCTGCGGCTGAGGCGGCATCCATGTTCGTATCGATATCGGATGGTGATGGTGGTGGTGTAGTTGCTGTGGTTGATACTTCTGTTACTGTTGCTGAAGTCGTTGTAATAGTATTACGAATAGTAGAATTAATATTAGCAGTAGTAGTAGTAGCAGTAGTAGTAATAGCATCAGAATGGGCGACGGCATCTGCCGTTGCAGTAGTACCACTTGTAATAGGCGTGTTAGTAGCAGTACTAACAACAGCACGATCAGAATCGGCGGCAGCATCTCCGTTATTGTCGCCCTGAAATAGACTAACATCTATACCGACGTCTATGCCGCGTAAGGCTCTGTTCATATCGTAGGTCTCTAGCGCGGTGGGGTGTAGGTCCACTACGTCTCCATGTCCATCTGCCGTATCTGGAACACTGCTGGCTTCAACGCGATTACTGTCTTTGCTGTCGTCGATGTTCTTGGTGGTGGTGCTGTTGCTGTTGCTGTTGCTGTTGCTAGTGGATGTCTCGGCTACAACGCTATTACTCGTAGCCGGAATAATCTCACTCTTGTTATTGGCTTGATTGTTCTTATCGTCCCCTTCTTTATCTCTGTCCTCTCTTGTTGCTTCATTGTCTTCTTTTGTTGAAGTCGTCTTCTCTTCTGTATTCTGAGTGGCGTATTCGCGGTCGTGATCGCAATCACAAGTACAGTTTACAGTATCGCTCTCCATATCGATCTATGTCTCTCACTCTCTAAATCTCTCTCTTCCTCTCTCTCTCTATATACACATATATATATATATACATATATATGATATGAGAGGGTATATGCGGTGTGGTATCTGGAGCTAACGTCTGACACGAGCGCGTATATATGAGACGAGAGTCGAATCCCGCCCCCATCCCTGAGTATCTTTTGGACCGGATGACGAACAAGCGAGGATGCAGTGAGAGACATGTTTTTAACGGTTAAAGGACTGACTCATATCTTCATCTGATATGGTCTTCTTGTCATATACAATACCTTTTGTTTTTGATATAATTAATTTTCTTTTTGATACGATTAGATCGTTTCAATCTTATCGACACATACGCCATGTAATTATCCGGCCGGTTCTGTTTTTCTTGTTCTTCTTCTTCTGCTTCTGTCAAGTGCTTTGCAATTTCATCGTTCAGAGATTGTACACGTTTCAGTATCTTAACGCTTTTTAGAATACCCACGTTATTGTCACACATCAGTTCTCTGGCATCGGCCGGATCCATTCCCATTTTATTTGAAGGAATAGAATAATACCAAAGGAAAGCGATAGAGGACAAGGCTTCGCCCTGAAGGAGATTACATATACATTTCTTATCGAGCAGATTATTACCTCCATTTATTCTATTGCTACTATTACTACTGTTGCTATTACTAATTTTACTACTGTTCTTATTTTTCGTCTTCCTCTTGAAATATATAGAAAATTGAACACTTCTATATGGATTAGCCTTACCACAGAGTAACACGTGTTCTGGGGTTATTACTTTATAGTTATCTGTTAAATTGATTTCCCTATCACTAGTACTACTATTATTTTTAATACAACTCTTAATATTACTTTTAGTATTACTACTGCTAATATTACTACAACTGTTGCTGCTGCTGCTGCTGTCAACTAAAGGAGGAAATGGCATTTTTGTGATACCGCAAGCCGCAGCAAGTTTCGTATTAAAACCTAACAACGAAAATATGTTAGCATCGTAACTGATAGATGTTATAGCGTTTTTCTCGTCAGTGAAAAACACGGCATCGGCAAATTTATCCACATCAACCGAAATGCCGATAGCTCCGTGAATGGCTGTCCCCGCCACTTCTTCCTGCATGTCGAGTTTGACGCTTCTTCTCAGGTTGTGGCGAACGCTAGCGGCTACGTGATCTTGTTCGATGTACGTGTCGTCGTCATCTCCGTGAATTGAAGAATCGAGCCAACGTCTTCCAACGCCGAGCTTGGCGATCTCCTGACAGCGTCTATCTTTTTCCGTTATCGGTTCTCTGTTGTTTCTCCATCCGCAATCTTTGGAATCTCTATATTTCTGGCTCTCCCAGTTCAAACAGACGTTCCGCGGACAACCGAAACTATAATGCGTCAGAGGTGACGGGCTTGGAAAGTATGCAAAGTCGATGTTGAAAATATTTATTATTTCGTAGACGAGAAAAATGAAATTGGCAAAGACCTGAAACACGGCCACTGCGCGACTGTGAGGAAAAATATCAAAGAACACCTTTCCCGCGGAGGCTCTGGGTATGAGGGGCGAAACGTATACGGGAGGACGCTTTTGCAGGTTGGTCGGTCCGCAGCCTTTGCGGAAGAACTCGGAAAATTCCTTCGACCCTCTACCCACTTTACATCCGTACACCCTCTCAAAATTAACGAGCGATAGGTAACAGGCATAGAAGAGATCGATCAACTTTTCCTCTGACGTGTGGAGCAAGCCCCGCGAATGTTTAGAGGGATCCTTTAAAAATGTTTCTCCCAACGATTGCAAGGCGCCGTCGACGCCACCCTCCGCTTCGAGTTGAGCCTCTACCTTCTCGAACCACGTCTGGTTAAAGAAAAGGTGATTGTTACTCTTATCGAGCAAGAATCGCTGAACGGCATCTACTATCATCACTCTGTCCGTTTCGAACCTCCTCCCAAACACCCCCACGGGATAAAGCCTGGAATCGTCAGAGTAGAGCATCTGCTTGAGACGGGATATTCCCTCTAGGTCGGGCTTGTGTCTTGTCACGATTTTGATATCCCTAACGTCGTCGTTCCTCGTCAGTGCCACGTACATCTCTTGAGCGTTCAGTCGCGATGGATTGATCAGCGTCACGCACGATCGCAGAGTGATTCCCTGACAAGAGAATACCGTCATGGACCACAGACAGGCTATAGGCAGATAATATATGCTGGCTTTTCCCTCGACGTATTGGCGCGGCGAAACGTGCGCTACCATTCCGTCTAGTCTGTCTATAGCGATCGAAACAATAACGACGGGAAAGCTAGAGTTATTGGTAGTGTTCTCGCACAACTTACGGATATTGACCACGGTGCCCGTATCCTGCGTGAAGAACATGACGTCGGTTCCAAATTCCGAACGCGGATAATTCGTATGAGTAAAATAAACCTTTTGACCTCTGAATAGAAATACTTCGTCGACTTTAGTCACGTCGGTCTTGAAGTTGTTGAGTATAGTTTTATACGACTTGTTACTGTTGCTGTATTTCAGTCGATGATCGATTACGTTGTTTACGAAACAGGTGTTCGATAACGTCTTGTGCGAGGCGAACGACGTCTTTAGTTTGACCAAGGTTATGTCCGACATGCTGTAGATGTTGCTGGGCAGCGTGATGCTGCCGATCTTGAACACGGTGCGAAAGAAAAACGATTCGACGATTTCGTATCTATCTTTCATCATTTTGCCGGCGGCGGCAGTGACGGTGTTTCCGGCGATGTTGTCCTTGGTTGTGGCAGTTTTGGTGGCCGCTGCAGCTGCGGCGGCCGTTTCCGATGTAACTTTAGACACCAAGTACGCGATTGCGTTCTTATCGTTATTAGTCTTCGTTAGTACGATGACGCTATGCTTACTTCTTTCTTCCTCGTCTTTTCTCGATCTTTTATTTTCCCCGGTGTCGATTTCGACGCCATCAGCGGAACAGCCACTTTCGTCAGGATGCGATCGTTTCTTTTTCTTAAATTGGGGCTCTATACCTTCTATGTCTTCCATCGTCTGTTCTCTCATATTTATAAATCTATCGCGAAGCGATAAGGTAGTATCAGCAGCAGCAGCAGCAGCAGCATCGTCTCCCGTCATCTCTAGACGTCTATTTTTGTGTCTGGATTTTCTCTCGTATATAAACGTAGAAATCATTTCAGTGGCTAACAATTTTATCTGTTCACTGTAGTTTGATCCCCTAACGTTTTTATATAACAATTCATTATCTACATATGAATATAGATCGCTTTTATTTTCTTCGATAACATCTGTGTTGACAAATAAAAAATCCTTGATAATGGAGGGAAACATGGTCTCAAAATAACACTCGACAAAATCTAATATTGGGCTTTTCCTTTTCACGATATTCGTCTTCTTTGCCACAGCAGAAGAATCGTCATTATCGGTCCTATGGGCAGTGAGACTTGCAAGTGTCCGAGAATCAACCATCGAATAAGATGTAGTCAAGTCTTTAATCGCCATCGCATAGCTCAATCCGAAAACGTGACGATTGAGACATATTCGTTTCAGAGAGTTCAGCGTAAACGATTTCGCTTTCAGCGAAATGTACGTAGCGTATGCAGATAAACAATGGGGACTGTTTCTGCGTTCGTTTTGTGAGAGCGGTATGGTAAAGGCCCTTAGCCAGTAGGGGGTCTCCATCAGCCGTTCCCCCAAAAAGTAGTGAGAGGGCGACCACATGATATCGCTGTCATCGATGTTGCATCCGTCGCCAGTATTGGCGGTGAGAGCATTTCTTTTGCGATCAAGTTCTCGTTTGATTAAATCCTTTAGGAAGAACCAGAATCTAGCCTTTGCTATTAGTCTGTCCTGAGATCCGACAGAGTCGTCATCCCATTTCCTGATATTATTTTGAAACTCGATACTCTTACTTAAGCGATAGGGAATCGTAGAGACGTGACTTATCCCATCGGGAACTTCACACGGATCGATGACCGATCCGTACAAATATCCTCTATTCTGTCTCGCGTTACAGGTCCCGCCAGTGTTGTTATCGTCGTCCTCGTCACAGTCATAATCGCTGTAATCGTCTTCATAGGTCCTGTTGTTATCATCATCATCGTCGTCGTTATTATCATCACCGTCATCGTTATTCTTATTCTTAACATCATTAACGTTACTGTTTTTGACAGCGGCAGCGTTCGACACTACAGAATCCCATGTTTCGTCGGTGTATGCTTGAAATTCTTCATAATCTCTAACTTGTTCCAGTCTGCATACATGTTTGCCATAGTCCTTAAAAATAGGCGCGTAAAAATATTCCAAGTCTGTTCCTTCTTTAAACAAAGCAGAATTAACGACAGATTTAAGCTCTCTCAGTTCGTGAATATCGTATCTCTTATCTAGTAGGCGATGTGGATCACTGCCCTCGGCAACTAGAATATTCAATACCTCTCTTTCGGGTATAGAGAGTTGTCCTTCGCCCTCTACTTCTTCTGCCATAGTCGGTAACACAAAGAATTTCTCTCGATTGAATTCGACAATATCGCTCATGGCATTGTTTACGAAATAAATGACAGCGTTAGTATTCTCCACCAGCTTCTTTCTAGCCCCCGCCGCCGCCGCAATCTCGTCGTTTGTATCCCGTATGTCATTAAGTCGAAGAGTCAAACAATCTAACACTAATTTCTTGAAAGAGAATGTCTCGGATAAAACGGAAAAGAAGTCAGTAACATTTTGGTCACTCGTGTCGAAATTCCACTCCATAAGATATATTACGGCATCGGACAACATTCTCTTAGTGTTTCTTGAATTGACATCTCGGCCTTGCATTTTAAGTGCTTGTTGTTTTTCTATATGGTTAAATATAATATCATCAAAGGGTAATCGTATATCGTTCATATTACTAGCATCACTAATATCTTTAGTAGTCTTTAGTGATGATGCCGATGTGTCATTTTTCCTCCTGTTAGCGATATCGAGCTGTAGTTTATCGGTCAGCGGTTTCAGTCTGTTCGCAGTTTTCGTCGAT